CCCCCCCCCAGACTTGCAGTGCTGTGCTGGCAGTACTCGGGCACTTGGTAGTAGTTGCCACCATTGCTCCACTGTGCTGTTTTGAGGGGGCAGAAGCGAGCGAGGGAAGGGATCCAGCCAGCCTCCCCTGGTGAGATGCCAGAGGTTGAGTCGTCCCTGGTATGTAACGGGGCTGCCCAGGGAGTGATCAGAGCCAAACCAAAGTGTCCCTTCCTTGTTTGAGCTGCTTGGGAGGGAACTGAAGGTCTCTGCAGAGTCCCCACTGCTACGCCTTTTAATAAAAACAGCCATCTCCCACTGGAATGACTACGCTGCCTTGGGACACTTGGTCTCTCTCCTCCACAGTGTTTGCCAAGCAAGCCTCAGCACATGGCAACATACTGCATCAGCCTCAACCCAGCCAGGCTAACCTCTGGCTGCCTTCTGCCGGACAGTTACTGGATTGCGCACCGTGTCTCACAAAGTTTTAAAGCCCTGCTTTGAGGCAATCAGAGAGTCTAACTCCTTTCTTTGGTGGTGGTTTATTAGTTAGGTTTAAGCATATTTTTTTAACAAAACACTGCTTTCCACATCATTGGGCAATTTTCACGTTGGTCCTTGGTTCTTCTAGCTGAAGTAGTTTGAACCTGACTTTAAAGAAAACTCTTGGTATGTAAATTGGGGTCCAGACAATATCCCCCAGGAGTATTTGGTAGCTTGCAAGACTTTCCACAGCAGAATCGGGAACCACCAAAACCAGGAGAGGAAACAGTAGGCTAAATCCTTCTCCTACATCACCCCATAAGCAAGGGCACCAGCTGCTCCACTCAAGCCATGGTCTCCGCTCCAAAGCAGCACGTGTGCCTGGGCACACAGACACACACAGAGAAGCCATGAAAACACACTCCTGAGAGAGGAAAGGCAGATGACCCTGCAGCAGTTCCCTTATCACTGTGTGTAACACCAACAAACAGTGAAGGCTGTGTGTATTTCTAACTTTATGTTTGGTGCAAAGGCTGCTTTTATAGCACAGGCACACTGCTAGAACTGGCACCAATTGCTGCCCCAGACCAGCATCTGTTCTCGAGTCCACCTGCTCCAGGAAAAACTGGAAAACAACCCCTGCCTGTTCCTTGGAGCTTCTGCTAAACGATGGTTTTCATCCATCTGACCAGTCCAACTGCCTGCTCTGCCTGAGCAGGGGAACCATCTGCAGCTGCCAGTTCAGGCAGGCTGCTTCCATCTGCTGAGGAAAAAGATTTAACCCTTCTGGGGCTGCACTGGGGCTTGCAACGTTTGAATTTTACAACCTGGGTTAATCTACTTCACCTCTGTTGCCCATGCAATGGAATGCCTTAATTTTGTACCCACTTCTGCAATTACAGGTGCCTCAGCTATGGTCTTTCTGGTAAGTTGCTCATCACTTCCAAATGAAAAGGATATGCTTGGGTAAACAACCTTTATTTCTGCCATTGAGAAACACGTTCCCTGCCTTCTTGAATGGAACCACATAGAGGAGGACCTCAGCTTCCCCTGCAGCCGCTGTACTGGTGTATCACATGCTGCTTCTCCCCTGTGCCAGTGCACTTTTCAGTAGGACCACAGCGACTTACCTCACTTTTCTACTTGCTGCTGTTGCTGGGGATGGAAAGGTTTCACCATTATTAGCCAGGAAAGGCCATTTACAGCTCTAAAGTTTTCCCTCAGAAGTAGCCACTTTGGACAAATGCAACCACCATTTATGTCATTGCTGCCTTTTACAAGACAGCCAACGTTTTACAATATAGATATATCATATCATATAGATATGAATGGCTTCCATGGGGTGAGCCCATGCCCCGGTCCCTTGGTGGGCCAGTTGAGTGTCACTGCAGGCAGAAGACAGAAGGCTGGATGGTGTGCTTTGGGCAGTGAGGGTGCATTGTCCCTTTATACAGCGCTGGGAGGCCAGATGGGCTCAGCCCATCATTCTGTGCCGGTGGGGTCTTGGGCTCTCCCAGCCATGAGGAGCCTCCCAGAGGGAGGCAGAAGCCCAGACTGGCATCTCAGCAGAGCCTGTGGGTACCTCAAGGTTCAGATAGAGGTTTGGAGCTAGCCCTCATTCCTAGCTTAGTGGGTGCTCAGCCCTCCATGGTGTTCCTTTACCTGAGCATGTCATTCTGGACTGGGAGGAGTGAGCGCTGCCCCAAGCCCAGGGTGCAGCTTGGCTGGGCAGTAACCAGGCACAGGAGGAGGGGCTGCCAGCATGGGAGCCTGCAGGGAGGCCCTCGGGGTGCTGAGGACCCGGCTATTGAAGAGGCGGTCGGAGGGGTAGGTGGGCTGAAGCACTCAGTCTGTGGCATGGACAAGAGACACGGGCAGCAGTCACAGCCAGCACAGAGGACAATTGCTACGAACTGCTGTGCCCTGTGTACGTGGATGCATGTAGGTGCTGCAGGGGAAGGAGGCATGTCCCAGGCTGCCTGTGTGAAGGATCCTTCACCTCTCTGGCA